TTGCACAAAATTAATTGCACATAACGTTACGCACACAAAATATTGCACGTGGTAACACGCTGCACAAGAACGTCCGGATGGCGGTTAGCGGATACTCGCGCATGACAAATAATTCCTCATAAATTCTTAAAGTATTCACAGTACTGAATCGCGAAGTATTCATTATAATGAACTTCAGAAGAATACGTCAAGACGAACTGATTGAGACTAATTCTTCAAGAATTCTTCAGATATTCATTTTTCTAATTCTGTATGTTTTCTTTAAAATGAATTCTCTGTGAACTTATGTTCATCTTTGTGCTATCTGGGTATGTATAGTATACAGGGTGTTATATGTAATACCCGCATCAACGCTTATTGTGGGATAGAGTGGACTAGACTAAGTCGAAAAGTCCTGCACCGCTGAATTGGGCAGTGGACTGGCCTAAGACAGCGATTTTTAATAATTAATAACTCGTTAACTATTGCAAAACCTGCAAAGTGGTACAGGACTTTTCGACTTAGTCTAGTCCACTCTATCCCACAATAAGCGTTGATGCGGGTATTACATATAACCACCCTGTATATGTATAGACTGCGTGTTCTCTACCTGACTCGCGTGTTGGCTCGTAACTTCCATAGACTTCTATAGACGGACCCTTTGTACGAGGGGTAACTGATAATCGCGGTAAGGGGATCACTCGTCTGACTTCGACTCTTTCCGGTGAGATTCGGTAATATTCGGTTCACATTTCCAATACGTGTGCACACGTCCCCTCCAATCATCCCCTCCAACTTGGAGTGGGGATGATCCGTTCGGCCACGCGCGCGCGCACGCTCGCACACAAGCAACGCGCCGTATATACGTGTGCACACGTATTGGAAATGTAAACCGAATATTACCGAATCTCACCGGAAAGAGTCGATGTCAGATGAGTACCTCCCGCGCCCCGAATATCAGACCCCTCTTGTCCAGAGTCGTTGCTAATGCTCCGTTTATAGAAGTCTATGGTCAAGCACAGTGGCCATATTGAATTTCGCCCGACTCCAGATATTGATAGACGAGAGAGAGAGAGAGAGAGAGAGAGAGAGAGAGAGAGAGAGAGAGAGAGAGAGAGAGAGAGAGAGCGTGCGTGCGTGCGTGCGTGCGTGCGTGTACTACGAGGGAAAGCATATATTGGCCGGTATTCATAGTCCGTTAATATTTAAGATTATCTTAAGTACACTCTTAATGTGCTTTCAACCAATCACAGAGCCGTATTAACATCTTAAGACAACACTTAAGATGATTTTGAAATAAGAATTGACTATGAATACCGGTCATTGTCTCTTTCTAGACTGTGTACACTTCTGCAGCCACAATGCGCGGTCTATATATACTATGAAAAGAGTCTTTAAATCTAATACACGATAAGAAGAAGTTAAAAGTTTAGTGATGAAACATGTGAAACTATATCTTCGTTAAATACTTACGGAGTTATGGGGCTTGAAATTTACGGTATCACCAGTATTACTATTACGCGTGGCGTACCACGTGGCGGTTGCAACGGTTGGCTTTACAACTTCAAAGTGGTACACCTCATGTAATTACAATACTGATAATACTGTAACTTTCGAACTTCACAATTAATTGGAACCAATTATTATTATTATTATTACTACTGGATAAACTTTTTCACACAACGCGAAAATACATTGCGACTCATGACGAACTGTTCCCAAAGAGCCAATGCGCGTATAATGTGCTTTAAATGTACATTTAAATTCACATTTAATGCACGTATTTGTCCCGCATTAAATGCACATTTAATGTATATTGTGGCAGTACATTAAAAAAAACTGTACCATTAATCGCCTATGCATGACTTTTCATGCATAAGCATGTATAAATATAGAGAAATATATAAAATTATATATCTCAAATATGCCCAAATATACTAAATTCGCGCATTTTGAACACACAATTAATGCTGTTTTGAAGCCAATGCAATAAAACGCGCATTAAAAGCACGTTCTATGCGCATTTGTGCTCCTTGGGTTGTACGGTGTCTGAATGATAACATTCGAGTGTACAAATTCAATATATGACGCTTTATGGTGGTATTTGACTAAGAAATAAATATTTACCTTGCTTTAATAATTATTTTTACATACAATTCACCTCGGTTATAAATATAAGTAGGTATAGTAAAGTCCTTGTCGAAGAGTACAGTGTTATACTCCACGCAGCTACACTACTAGCATGCTAATGGTACATGGTACAAGAGCGCGTGGGCAGGTAGGGTGCTTTTGTACATAGAGAAAATTAAGGTAGAGGGGAGCGAAGTGTTCTCTACTCTGATTGGTCCGCCATTTTTATTTTTACAGACTGGCTGCTACACGGTGTTTTAGTGAGTTTCAGAACGTGCATTTAAATCACTGAAATATATACTAACTGG